TATCTACGTTTGCAAATTGGCTGATTGATAACAGGTTAAGAGATTGCTTTTTCCTGGCACATTCCACAAGTATGGAGCTATTACGGAGGCGGGTAACATCGATTGATGGCTTAAGAAATAGTGAACATGTTCAATTTCAAAGGTTGATGATCAGAAGCCACGAATAGAATGAATCGATCCCATGAATCTAATTTGAGATCAGTTTCGTCATCAGATGAGCTAGCATCTGGGTGTTTTCTTTTTGAACCAGAGTGTTGTGTCGACATAATGAAAGGAAGTGGTTCTGCACCCCTGCTCCCCACCCACCATCGAGTGTCAACAAAGACGGTGTCTTATTGCATTGGATATCCAAAATACAGAACACCAGGGGTGTTATACTCCAGCAAATATTACATGAATAGCGATATATGTTTACTAAATTTATTGCCAGGCTGGTTCTGCCAATAACAATAATTTAGAAACATACATAATTCAGCGGTCAACATTACCAGATTGGCCCATGAGCCACCACCTTCTGGCATAAGGCTCTAGGCAATATATGTATTTCAATAAATGTGTCTTCAAAAACCCGAAGCATTCGTGATATATATGATACACACAGAGCTTGGCGTGACCGGCCGAGTGATAGAATCGGGCCCATTTTATCACCCATCTAGGCGAAGAAAGGGTCGAAGTGGTGTGTTGGACAAAAGGAACATCGGTTCCTGGCTCCAGTGCCCTCAACAAGACCCCCTTTCCCCACCGACACAGGGGCGCAAACCACGGCAAACAGGTTGCTCAATTTGGTCGCCTTTTACGACCAGCAATGGGGTGCTGTGGACAAATTCTACCCCGGTTCCACACGGGGGAAGAGCTATTAGCGTTACCCAGCACTCACCACAGGGAGGTTGCTCTTCACGAGTGCCACCACTGTTAAAACTAAGATCAACACTGCAACACGATATCTAATCAGTTGTTCGGCGAGCATCACCTTGCACTAAATTGTCAAGAAAGATGATGCATGGAAACTCGAAACTATTTTGATGTTAACAATGCTAATTTATGCATGTCATCAGTTTGCTGTCAGACATGTTCTGCGGCATCGATCATGAAGTACGAGAACATGTTTTTTCAACTAAAAGAAAACAATTAGACATGTTGGTAATTCGGAATGAACAATGGTTGCTTTGTTTCTCAGATTCTGTTTGGGAATAAAGTTAAACATTATATTGAAACACACTAATTTAAACAGGAACCCACATACATCAGGAAAACGGTATGACATTGTACCCATGTCGGGAATCTAACCCGGGTCTTCGGCGTGACGAGCGAACGCTTTAACCACTAGGCTACCTGACTGCCCCTTTATTCTCTATAACAAAGACTACTGATACCTTTCTCTGAGAAACACGTACAATAAAACATGAAGATCACAGATTGAGGATTTTACTTATAACGTCCCAACATAGCTTGGTTTAGCAATCTTAGTTAAATGTTTAGTTTATTAAAGACAGCAACAACTGAAAGTTCAAAGGAAAGCCCCACGTGTTCATGTATTGATGGCTTGTTCCGTATCATCAGATCACTCCAGTACTGCTATCTGAGCTGTATGTCTATAGTCCTATCTGTTTTCTTTATCTTTGTAGTGTAAAGTGGTTTCACCTTCAATGTTCTAAAAATGAATAGTTAGAAGCCTTTTTAACAGAAACCTTTTAGTGTAACGAGGCACCTACTTGGGTGAGGGATAATTGTTTTTTAGATCACTGGGATTCATCCGTGGGGACACACACAAGAGAAAAGCCGCACTACGTAAAAAAAGGTAGGTATTTTAATTTCAAATTGTGGAACAGGGAAAGAATCAGTGCTGCATACATGTTGAAGTTAAACAATAATTAATGACGTTTGTGCTACCGTCGCGCATTCAGATTCTACCATCTCATCTGGCAATGGTATTTCACTGCAGGTAAGTTACATTGATATGTAAACTATTCGTTTGTCAGTCGTCGGGACTTTTTAGGTATTCTTGTTGCCATGGGCAACATGGAAACTTTTAATTCTAAGCATTAAGAAGGCTTTGCAGTGTGAATAGTTCCATATGCCAGAGCATCTTGAATTCAGTAGTGCCTCAATTTTCCCCCTCCATAACTGTGAACCCAAACACGTCCATTCAGTAGAGTAAAGTTTAAACCTCTATTCACTTATTTGTTCACTGTAGTTAATTGGGAGTCCTTTAAAGACGTATATATATATATATATATATATATATTGTTATATTGTTATATCGTTTATGAACAGAGAGGCCGGTGATAATGAATAATAAAAAGTCAGCTCCATCTTACAAGAGGTTTAATATTGCTAATGGTAAATGTCCTGTTGTCAAATGGCATTTGTTTCTGTTCTGAGACATCATTTGAACTCGTTTTAGGTGAAGCAATATTATTGAAACCGACTTCTGACTTATGTTCATTGTAAATACAGCTACCTTTGTCATTTTATTAATTCACCCTTTTAAAATTTAAATATTTGATATTTACTCCAGAAATTCTATTACAAAAATAACACATTGGTGTTGTCGTGTATTTGTGATTTCGCAAATCAAAAATGATCACTCTGTAACGTCTTCAATAAGACTCCAGTGTGAAATTGTAGCTTGGGGCAGTGTTAGAAGGTCTGAGGAAAGTAAACACTGCAAGTAGTGTTTCACACTTTTGTCTTAGCCTGTGCATTTGCAAATCTGCATTAGGAGGTCTAGTAGAGACCAATTTCTGGAAGTCTTTGTTGATAGACATATACACCAGTTGCTTGTACCAGTCTTGTTGGCTTTCCTCGATATTCAACACCATTAGAATTAACCGGAAAGTTCGCCAGTTTGGCTGTCCACTGCTTTGGATGTCGGCTCAGGACCTCAGGAGCTGTTTTTTGGCAACTGTATGGTCTCAAATGATACGAAACTGTCCACGGTGTTCAGGTGAAAGGATTTGTATGATTGTCTAAACATGCTTAGATGAAGCATCCACTCGTAACATAGTATTGGCCTGCTAAGCTTATCGGCTATGTAATCGTCCTCTTCCCTGAGGTAACGAACAGCCTAACATCTAGCTTTCAAAAGGGTGTCCATACTTCTTTCTTGTCGAAACCACATTTATGGGAGAAACACAAAATGGGCGTTTTGGCAACTTGCTCTATTGCTCCTTGATTTAACAATTCACTTATTCAATGTCCACAAATTCTTTAAACCTCTGGCAAAGTTCACGACTGGGTAAAGTTCACACCACTTGTCAACGTGACTGAATAGGGAAGCGGCAGTACAAGATAAGTCTATAAACATGGTCATTTTACTTTACGTTACATACAGCGATAAAGAGCAAGCATTACTTGTGACATCAAATCATAGTCGCTCAGAGGTACTGTTATTTCCCCACTGCAAGTCAACAGCATCCTAGTCGCTAGTAGAAATCTTTGTTTTGATTACTGACTCCACGGCACTGACTTATGCCTCCACCTCTTCAACGTCGGGTGGTGTTACTTCGTGTGTCAAAAGCCGCGATTTGATGTTTTAAAAGTGTCAATTGGGATACGATGACATGCATCAATCAAGTCAGCGAGCCTGACCACCCGATCCCGTTTGTCGCTTCTTGCGTCAAGCATAGTCACCTTTTACACATGATCTTCACGGTTCTTGTGATGATTCGAAAAGTCCCTATCAAAGTTTTTGTTCATTCAGCCCGAGTTGTACTTACTCGTCCTGTAAATGTCTCATTGAAGTATCGGTGCATAATGTTATGATTGGACGTAGAACTAGTGCGACGCGACCACAATTGTCACACAACGTTCACTTATATAAACGTGCGTTGGTGTGAAATGATGACATTACTTGATTCAGTTCTCGTACAGTGATGTCATGTCATGTAATATTGATACAGTCACAACTGTTGATTATAGGTGTTGATTAATGACCACATACTACTAGAGCCAATTCACATGTAATGTATAATATATGTAAGAATTTGCTTGCAGCAACAGAAGGATGCTTCCTCACAGAGCATGTGACTACACAGTTCAACTAATTTGCACAGCTCTTATCATGACTGCCATTGGAACATTTGACCACGAGAGGCAGCCGGTCGGAGTGGAAATGTGCAAAGACCATTGTGGCCAATATAATAACTGCACATTTTGCGTATTTTATATCACAAGGCTTACCTGCGTTGCTAGATGGTCCAAAAATCCACCACAGACTAACGGGGAGGAGGCATTCTATCTGGATATCAACAAGGTACCAGTTTCTACTGTGACAAACACTCTGGGAACTCCCAAAGGACAGATTTATGCCTCTTAGTTGTGTTAATCATGTGACAGCACACTTGAGATTTGTTGTCGCACATCTAGTGAGTATGAACAGATAATGAGTTAAGCAAGTCATCTTGACATTAAAATCCCAGGATTGACAAAAATATATTCACTTTCCCTCAATTTTTATTAACGTATATATTTACAATGTCATCTACTTGACACATTGATGCTTAAATAAAGAGGAACGCACATTGCTATTATAACAGATCATCAACATAAATCAAGAACTTGCCTGCTCTGCTAATTGGAGTTGAAACTTGGATTTAGACATTACACAACGAAACATCAACATATTTATGTATATTTTTCAAAGATACTGTCTATGAAAGATAAAAAAATGAGTTCATCTTTAATATTCTTAGCTTTTATGTGAAGGCACCGAAGTCAGCACTAGGCAATGGTCAACAACTTTTAAACAATATAGTCTTTGAGATGTAATACTGATTATGATAGTTGAAATGAGATCCCTTGAAACACATTGTTGTTTCACATGTTTGTAAGACATGAGCTCCCATTTGGTGAACGATCATGGTCACGATTTGTATGTCATTCCTAGATACTATTCGGAGGAATTTGTATGAGTACATGTATAATACCGATGTGTCTGTGCCAGGAAGTACCTGGAGCCATTGCACAAAGAAAGGGGCTATGCAGGGAGAGACAGTCAAGGGTTGTTCTTACCAGATCGAATGGCTTTCGATGTATAAAACGTAAGTGTTCATTCTTTGCTCTTGTATTTATTGAAGTTAACAGTGAACTAACTGCACCATGATAAGTAACGATTTGTAATAATACTCAACAGTCAATGTCCCTTTCACAAATACAATTTATTTTTTTAATACTTGATGTGATATGTTCAAATGGACGAGAATTTTGTAAGCCATCCTTATTCAGTCATACAATGTCTACTGGAGCAATGTTGTATTTGCATTGTTACTTGCAGTGGCGCAGCTATTGAAAGGGACACACTCAGGTAATTCCGAATAACGTTGCCTAATTACACTGTCTTTAGGTGGGCCATATTATAAAGCACGTATTTCACTCAATACGTCTTGCCCTTTCGATACAATTCACTGGCTCTCCTTAGTATGTCGGTGTGAGCGCCTGAAGGCGTTACCTTCATCCAAAGACGTGCTGACGCTGACAGTCTGTCAGACATGATTAAAAAAACGAAGCCTTTCAAGATTTATCCTGTCATCGACTCCTTTTTCCCTTACCTGTAGGCTGTAAATGCGGTGTTACAAACACAACAGATACATATTTACTATCATGTTTATTAATATTTAGGTAGGGGGCACGCGATTCGCTGTGCAGAGTTGCGTCCCTTGGGCACGCCAGAAACCTATGATTGTGGGTTCGAATCCCAGTTCGCCCCAATTATGTTTCTAGGTTTGTCAGCACCATACACGTGCTCGTGGGTTTCACCGAAGTGGTTAACGTCTGAGACCTGCATCACTTCGGGCTTTCCTCCCACATTAAGCTGACACGCCGTGATAAAACTGGAATACTGTTAAAAGCAGCGTGAAATCCAACTCAATCACTCACTCACTAATATTTAGTTAAAGAACGAGCAGTTTGACAACTGGTTATAAGTTTGGTTAATATGTGATAAAAATGTCATCAATGCCTGTAAAAATCAGATACGCTGGTGCTTATAGATTACACACTTGATTTTAGATTCATAACCTGATCAACCACAATGTTTCTCTAAAGTCAATCCATAAGTATAACAGACAATTATGTTCTTACAGTGAAAACAGACGACTTGGCCCTCCTGTTGTTTGCACCTCATCTGGAAAGATTAAAGACGCCATTGCGTGGCTTCCACCTTCTGAACAGCTCAATAACAACATATGTCCATATAAAACCAAGAAATTCCCTTGCCATGGCATACGTACCAACACCCCGAATAGTTTTGATAGCTACTGTTGAACCGAATAACATCCGAGCCTTCTCATTGCATTCCAATGTCAGTGTCACTGTAAGAAGGGATATATACGCCGTGTCAATTGCAGTGGATGATGCTCAGCAGCTAGTGTTCCTTGCTACGATAATACCATTTAAATGCGTAACTAGTATGACACCTGATGGGAGAAATTTCAAGAAAATCTTCTGTCGAATCAAACCAACGGTCCTTTGCCTTGATACAAGGCGAGACATTGTGTATGTCGCTGACCGTACATCTATCTACTCGTTCACGTATGATGGGCAGGGTTTTCGGAGGGTAACGTCAACACAGAAAGTGCATGGTCTCACACTGGGTGGTGATGGTGACGTGATGTATTACAACTACAAAACCGCTATCATGGAATATGAGTTCAAAAATGGAAAGACAAGAAAAGTAACTGAATTAAATTTTACTGTTAGGAATCTTGTACATAATAACGGTTATTTGTATATGAGTTCTCTGGGGGACGCGTACATCCACGTATGGCATGAGTCAAGCTATTCCCGTTTATTGAGAGCTCCCGGTGTTGATAATCTATTGATAGCTTGAGGATTTGTTTCATCAAAGATCATTATTAGGTTTGTATGAAACATATAAATATAACTATATTCCTTACCATATCCCATACCCGTGCTCGTGGTTTTCACCAAAGTGGTAAACGTCTGAGACCTGTATAACTTTCCTCCCACATTAAGCTGAAACGTCGCGATATAACTGGAATACTGTTAAAAGCGGCAACTCAACTCACTCACTCATTCACCCTTGCCATATCAGGCGTTTCATTTAATCGTTAGTTATCTTTTCGATTAATTGACCATCCACCGATTTCACACTTTGAATTATTGTCACACTCTAATCACAATCTCGTTGTAAATATGACAGTGTGTGTTTGTCTTTATGTTTCAATTTTGTATCGAAAAGAATGTGTGTATGTATGTATGCTTCAATGTTCTGTCTTAAAGTATGTAATTAACGTGGTTATTTACTTTGAAAGGCATTTACTAAGTAAGAATAATATATTTGATGAACAACTTCTTTATTACAAGTAGGAGCGACGTTTCGGTGTGTGTTCTAACATCGTTATCAAGCAAGAGATGTGCAGAGTACGGTTGCCAAGTATATATTCAGGAAGGAGGAAGTGTTTATACGCCTTGTAGATTAAGATATAGTTACACTGGAGTGGATAAGCCTGTGAACACAAAAGGGTAAACATATTGACCAGTGACACCAATAATACAAAAGAGGACTGATTGGGATCTTTGATGAGTTGATTTTATGCAGGGGGTATGTAATAGCCTTGATCACTGTTGACTGATGGGTTGAGTCCAATGATGTTGATGGCTTCTTGTAGTTTTCTGATTTCTGAAGTCTTTGAGGTTGGTGGTGAGGGCTCTAACCACAACCCACTGGATGCTGTGGCTTGTGTGGCAGTCTGATAGAGATGACCTAGTGTCATCTTTGGTAACTAAGCTTTGATGTTCTTTCATTTGGGTTTTATGTTTCGTGCAATTGTGGACAGGCCTATAGATGTCAAACTAAAAAATAATTGTGTTTTTTATTTAAAATGGGTTTCAAACCGAATCTATACTGAACATGCTGTAAATTGAAAATCCACGAACAAGGCTAACAAGAAAACGTCACCATGTATAGATATATGAGAAACCTTATTTGTCCGAACACTGTAAACATACTTTGAGAAATACTTAAAAGATGAAACTTGGTAAGACTGTTGATCAAGGTTAAAATTAAAGTGTCAAGTGTCTTAAAGTTAAACACAACACTAGTCTCTGAGAAAATGGCATCGCAAGTCAGTATCTCGTGTGTCCGCCATGTGCATTGATGACTGCCGTGCAACGTCGATACATTGGATTCTTCTCCACTGCTGGTGGTGCCAATGCTGGTGTTGTGTTGCCCACTGAAGACGGTCCTGGCGATGACGTGGTGTCAGAAAGGGTCCTAGGTGTGCCCTGTGAAATAGGAGGTGTCTGCTCGTCAATCGTCGACGCACGGTGTCCGCACTAACATGTCGCTGGTGTGTCCCCATGGTCTGTCGAGCAAGTTCCGCAGCAGTAACAAAACGATCTTGAAGATGCTGTCAGCAAATCTGACGATCCTGACGTCGGGTAGTGACCATTGGTGCTTCACTACGTGGTCGGTCATCTGTAGTGTTGGTGGTCTGGTACCGTTGCTGGAGCCTGTATATGGTCCTTATGTGGACTTCAGATGCATTGGCTACATGCCTTGCTGTTTGTCCAGCTTGCAATCGTCCAAGGGCTTGGTGTCGCTAATTTCTTGTCAATCTTTGCATGTGGTAGCGATTCAATAACGAAGGAATGTTTGGATACTGTAGCTTTTGCGGCTTGGAAATTGAAAATCCTTGAACAAGGCTTACCTACGAGCCTGTTCCACTTGATTGCCTGTAGCTTTACGTTAAGAGACATATTTATGTTTTAAGGTAATGCACCTCCACTAAAATGGGTAGTTTATTATTTAAATAGGTCATATTTCCTTATACGTTAAGTGTGTCTATACACCTATGCAGCAATATGAAGGATTTTTAAAAAAAATTAAGTTTATATATAATTTAATCACGCTACTCCATGCTAGGCCATAGCAGCGTGAGATAAACTAACATTATCACTGCCCAAAAAATAATAAAATAATGTCCATCAACTGAAAGCCAACCTCTGCAGCACGTTTAGACGTCAATGGGCGAAACACACTATACTTCCTGAGATTGTCCTGAGTTGTCCACCTGTACGAGTCATTAATGATTGACTCCACTGGACAAGGTCGACCATCGTCGATATGTGGACAGAATATGGGTTCTTGTTCACTGTCATTGCGTTCACAAAATAACTTTTCAATATTATCACACTGAAGATTTTCACACCGAACACGGCGTAACACTGACGAGGGGACTTTTTCTTGACAGAACAACCCTCTTTGGGGTTCTCAGGAAACGCAAAGTATTCGTTCTTGGTCAATAATAAGGTCTTGTTTTCAGACTCTTTCATCAAATGTTCATGAAACGAAGCTTCACTTGAGGTAGCCATTGCAAAAGTTGACAGGCAATGGGACAGTATGACTGAATGATATATATAGGTCAATGTCACGTATTGTTTTGACATGTACCAATTGTACTTCTCAGGTTATTTGTTTCTGGTCACTGCCGCCTATTATTTAACTAATTAATTTTTTGGCTTCTAATCTGTTTACTTTATTAAGAAAACAAAGATGATATGTGGAGTTTTGAAATTTGTTAACATCAGATTGATTCATATATATTGTGAAAACTGCATACTGGTCTAAATTCAAATTCTAAATTATGGCCTCTAATTCATTTCAGCCAACCTGTCTCAAGAGGGAATCAGTCAAAATATGTACTGATTGAAACTTCCAAAACCCTTTCCATATCCAGTAGAAATATCTGCAAAACGCAGAGTCGACTGTACGTTTCCGACTATATCATGAACACGTGTTTATGAATCACTATCAAATAGTAATGATATCAGGTGATCAGATGAGCAAATCCTGACCCACCGGTGGCACCCGTCACAAACACATGCAAGGCAATTGCTCATCTGAAAAAACACGGGAACGTATGGTACAAGTCAAAAAAGGGAATTGCAGCGAAAATAATCTTTGTCACTTAGGTGTCAAATTTGGAAATGTCCCCCACATGTCTACCATAAAACCGTTAAAAAGCTTTTCTGAGGCTTTGAATGTTGTAAACGTGATTGTATCTTAATAGTTGTATCTTAATAGTTGTGAAATGTAATCACCAAATGCTGGAGCTGCTGGAATATTGCTCGACTTGAAGGGAAAGTTGACAATCGGACATGCTCACGATATAGTCGAAATGGTACAATTCTTATGAATAGGGAAAGGGTTTTGTTGCTTTTATGATCCCATCAAGCAGTTTGGTACCGCCAACACACTAATGCATCGATCGCACATAGTTTGTTCGTTGTTGAACGCCGCACTCAGCAATATTCCAGCTATATGACGGCGGTCTATAAATAATCGAGTCTGGACCAGACAATCCAGTGAGTGACATCATGAGCATTGTTTCACGCAATTGGAATACGATGACATACATCAACCAAGTCACTCACAAAATGGTATATCTACATCAAACTGACTTAAAACGCGGGTGGAGATGATAGTTCACTGAAACGGGTTCATCATCTCATAACCTTGTACTTTTTAATCTTGAATAATGATGGATTAGAAGTTTTAATGTGATAAGTAGGTCTATTGTCCTTGTCAAGCAGTCCCTTAAAGTCAAATGGGAGGAATTGTTGGACCCTGTACTGGGAATAAAATATTGAAGTTAACAACGGAAATGTGACAAAGGCCATTAACATCACAAATTCAGTTCACTATTCGGTGAGAAAACAATGTGCGAAACATACTACCTTGTGCTTTCCTTGATATGATTGGGATTAAAGTATTGAAGTAAACTTCTCTTTCTTTAAACAACGGAAATGTGACAAAGGTCATTTACATCACAAATAGAGTTCACTATTCGGTGAGAAAAACATACTATTTCTTTAATTGCGTTTGTGGTTTGCGTTTCGTTGCTTTCCTTTATTTTGTTGTGAGTCTTTCTGTGTTTGAGACATTCGCTGATATGTGTATAAAATAAAGCATCGATCATACTTACTTCGTTCCTTTTTGTGGTATGCTGATCATCTGCCGATATTGTCGGTGACAGGGATAGTAGTCTCCGACTTATCATGGAATTGAAATGTTAATCGGAAGATGAATTGGTGATTTTGGAAGAAGTACACGTGAAGCCCTACCTGTGACCGACAATAGTGACGAATATAATCAGGATGATCCCCGTTTTGGACACAGATTGTTTCGGTGTTTAAGTTTATCCCAAATACAATATTTGTACATCAATGAACGACATATCATAGACGCTGTGAATCCGTGTCACTTGCTGACGTGTTACATTACATTATACATATGACGGTATAGCGCCTGTAGGTAGGACGAATACACTTGGTTAATTATCAATAATTGTCTACAAAGATCAAACGGTGTCTATCTTTATAAGGGGTGGGTGTGAGTGGAACCCGCGCCCTAGAATCGAAAAGGAAAATATCTTACGATAATAGAATTACGTTATTGACGTTACATCAAGGCTGCTTGACATTTCCCTCCTAGCCACATTCGTACAATACACGGAATCCATACCAGTATATACACAACACAAGTCTCCAAACAACTAATGAAACGATCGCGGTAATATTCTGTATCTGGCTGGTGACAGTATCCAATAAGTATCCTGACCCACCAGTTGCAATCGATATTTACCTCACACTGGCAGTATGTCATGCATACAGTGACAGGAACACTTGAACAGATTATATATACCTTGAAACGAAGGAAAGAAAAATAAATATGGGTGAGGTGAGGAGAAATTGGGTTTAACCACGCGCCCATGATTATTGCACATATATATCTATGTGATCCTTGTTTTAGCCCTTAATGCCGAGCGCCAGACAGCGTTACAACAAGTACCATTCTTTAACGTCTTTTGGTATGACGCCGCCGGGGATAGAACCCTGGACCTTCCGCTCGCCGGACGTTCCAACACTAGACCAAGGAGGCGGTCGAAAAATACATGAACATCACAGATTGAAGTGTTCACTTATAACAAACACACTGGCATTTGCTCATCAATCTCTCAATAAATATTTCAATTTCAGAAAGTAAGAAACAATTGAAACTTGTCAGGAAATCCTAATAGATCCATGTTTTCATCGTATTTCCCCTCTCATCAGGGCACATGCATTTCCTTTCACGATATGAATACATAAATGACCCAAAAGGTCATGGGAAACCATGACTGATATCATACATACTTTTTGCTAGATGGCCTATCGTATCGATATATGTTTGTTATGTCACTGACTAGAAACCAAAAACTTAAGGTGGTTTCAACTTTAATATTTCAATACAAACCTTTTAGTACAACGAAGCAGCTGTTTTTGTGTGGGGTAAATTGGTTTGTCAGAACACTGAGATTCATTCGTTGGAAGCATATCACAGGGAAAGAACACAACTTCGGGAAACGTAAGCATTTTATTTTCAAATTATGTAACATTTAACTATAAATGCTGCAGATATAGTTACTTTACAAATAGTGACGTATTTCCGTCCTTTGTGTATTAACGTATTTAATCACATCACTCAAGTTGACGAGTTATTTATGACATGTTCAAAGTGTCTGGTGTGGCATCTGATTCTATCTATCCTCTTGAATCAGGTTCAGGATGTACGTTAGACTAGAGACAACATGTAAGTTATAGATTTATGTTACAGGAGGTATTCAGGATGACTGATGTAGCTTCTCATTCCATCCATCTTCTTAAAATCAATTTGAGTTGCTCAGATAGACTATGTGTATAACCAATATACATCACATCAGTTGTAAATTGATGTTACAGGTGGTCATCAGGGTCACTCGTGTAGCCTTTAATTATGTCCATCCTCTCGAAACGTAATGTTACAAATGGTGTTTAGGGTGTCTGGTGTAGCTTCTAATTATATCCATCCTCTCGAAACATAATGTTACAAGTGGTGTTTAGGGTCCCTGGTGTAGCTTCTAATTATGTCCATCCCCTCGAAACGTAATGTTACAAGTGGTGATTAGGGTGTCCGGTGTAGCTTCTAAAAATGTCCATCCTCTCGAAACGTAATGTTACAAGTGGTGTTTAAGGTGTCCGGTGTAGATTCTTATAATGTCCATCCTCTCGAAGCTTAATCTTACAAGTGGTGTTTAAGGTGTCCGGTGTAGCCTCTTTTTATGTCCATCCTCTCGAAACGTAATGTTACAAGTTTTGTATAGGTGTCCGGTGTAGATTCTTATTATGTCCATCCTCTCGAAACGTAATGTTACAAGTGGTGTTTATGGTGTCTGGTGTAGCTTCTAATAATGTCCATCCTCTCGAAGCGTAATGTTACAAGTGGTATTTAGCGTGTCCGGTGTAGCTTCTAAAAATGTTCATCCTCTCGAAACGTAATGTTACAAGTGGTGTTTAGGGTGTCCGGTGTAGCTTCTTATCATGTCCCTCCTCTCGAAACGTAATGTTACAAGTCGTGTTTAGGGTGCCTGGTGTAGCTTCTAATTATGTCCATCCTCTCGAAGCTTAATGTTATAAGTGGTATTTAAGGTGTCCGGTGTAGCCTCTATTCATGTCCATCCTCTCGAAGCGTAATGTTACAATGGTGTTTATGGTTTCTGGTGTAGCTTATCAGTATATCCATCCTCTCAAAACATAATGTGACACGTGGCGTTCAGGGTGCCCAGTGTAGCTTCTAATTATATCAATCCCTTTCAACCAGGCTGTATGTATGAAACAGACTATGTGGATCACCAATGTACATCACGTTCATGTTGTCCATGGAGACTGGTGTTTCTGATGATGAGTATGTCTTAATAGTTTAGGGATCACAATAAGCACAAGGCCGGAAGAAGTATTTTGTCAAATACGTTATTAATGTCCATATCAAAGTTAAACATAATCAAATACTGAATATTCACTGAATAGTATCTTAATACCACCCTTCTTCATAGTACATATTCGTCGTTTGTTTGTTATTTGTTTTTGCTTCTTTTGGATCAGATAATCAGAATCGCTTTCTATTTATTTCTGGTCATGCATCTCGTACAAGCATGGGAACCAATGTGAAAGCCTCTCTCAGGTGATGGGGAAGCCAGACCAAACTCAAATTACTTGCACGACTATGTCAAAAAGGAAATACTGATGAGAAGTCAAAATTAAAAATTCTATGGAATAGTTTACCTCACGTGGGCAGTATTTCAGACATTAGTAAGTTAAACTGAGTATAACAACATGTAAATAGAACCGATTGCACATTCCACCAATAACATCCTGGAATGGACAGAAACTAAAACTTCATGAGAAATCCCAACGGATCTTCAATCATTACTCATTCATGTATTCATCGTCTGTTTCCTCGGATCAAGACACATTTCCATATACATCACTATGGTCAAAACACTGCTCCCAAAGGCCATGAGAAAACAAAAAATAAACATAGAATATCTAAACTATACGCTTTTGACCATGTCAATAGGCCTATCTGGCTGCTTTATCATTGTTAATGTCAGTCATCCGATAGCCGACTTGGCTGATGTTATCCTATCCTAATGAAACAAACAACAATGTGTACACTGCATAGTATTGGGATTGTAAACATTCACTCAGTGAACTTTAAATTTCGGTAACAGGTGTACTTTGAACATTCAAATTTATCAAGACATAAAAGGAATGAAATATAAGTACACTGATTAAGAGTCTCTGAAGATGATTCGTAGAGAGCAAGCATGATAATTGTACAAGAGGACGTGTCATATTGATTTATTTGACCATGGAGTACTTAAATATTTAGTGTAATGCCACTGAATCAAGCCTTGTTGGAGAATTGCACTTCTGATGTGTCTCAAACCATGCTGCTTCAACAACTGGCTAACATCTTCCTGTGTTCACGGTTTTCTTCACCAACTGGGGACCAAAAATCTCTAGGGCTGCACTGCCGGGATCTTCTCCAGTGTCACGCTTAGTCGGAGGTCTTGTGCT